AGGAGGAGAGACCCCTAACTATTTTATTGTTGGATCTGGAGAAAGCATACGATAGAGTTAACTGGAGCTTTGTGCTCACGACACTGAGGAAAATGGGTTTTGGTGAAGTGTTTTGCAGATGGGTAGTAGTGCTGTATACCCATTCTACAGCGGCGGTGATGGTTAACGGTTTTCAGTCAGATCCCTTTCCGCTCACGCGTTCGCTTAGGCAAGGATGCCCCTTAGCCCCGCTGCTCTTTGTGATTCAATTAGAGGTTATTCTGTGTAATATCAGGCGCTGACCAGAGATAGTGGGCTTGACACTCAGAAACAGCGAATGCAAAGTTAAAGCACTCGCAGATGACCTATTTGCCATTTGTGAGAACTCTCCAGCTGGCCTCAATGCCCTTAAGCTCCTGCTAGACGAATATTCTCTCTTTTCGGAAGCTGAAGTGAACTGGAAGAAGTCCGTGTACTTCTTACCGCAGAGCATGACTCTGCAAACGGATTGGGGTACGAACCGGATAAATAAGGGAGAAGCGGAACGATTTTTGAGAGTTTTAATCTCTCTGGATGTGTGCCAAAATGCTCAGGAGGGAGTTCTACAAAATAGGATGAGCGTAAAAATCAAGACTTGGGGCTCGGCACCTCACTTATCCTTGTTTGGTCAGACACTGGTAGTTAACTCTTCACTGCTATCTCTCCTCAGTTACGTGGGATCAATTCGTATGATGTCTCCCTCTCTGTTGGCTTTCACTAAGCGAACTGCTGCTAAGTTTATATGGAAACCGAAAGCAGACCAAGACCAGGGATTTATTTCCAAGGTCGCATGGGATCTTATTGCGCAGTCACGGGAAAAGGGAGGGCTGGGACCGGAAGATCCACTGAGAAGGAACTGTTTGCAGCTAGCCACTTGGATAATAAAGGTCTCTAATCATGATGGATCTGAGCACTGGATTGAAATGGGTGAACATATTTTAGCAGAAGAATGGGGCCTGTCGCGGGAAGATGATGTTTGGCTGTGTCTGCAGCTGGAATCCTTTGTTAATAGGAAGATCCAATCGAAGTTTTGGGCAGATGTAATAAAAGCCTGGGGAAAAGTCAAACCCACGGAATAGGCCCAGCCGGTCACAAAGGCAGAGGTGCTCAGTCAGCCATTATTTGATAATTCGCACATTCGGGATCAAAATGGATCTAGCTTTTGGGCAAATAAAGCATCAGGCACTTTCGGAGATAGATGGATAAGGGAGGGGATTCTCAGAATAAAGGATTTATGGGACGAGATTCTGGGTAACTGGCTCACTCCCATTGAATTGAGACAACGCTTGATGCATTTGCAGAATGTGGAGGAAAAGAGAACAGACCTCATCAATGCGATCCCTCATAGATGGAAATACTTACTGTCGTCAGAAGCTGTGGATCCCCCTGGAACCTGGTTCATCACTCAGATACAGCCAGACCCGCCCACCTATTGGAAGCTGATGGGCTATATGGAGGATGGTACCAGAGTCTTTCAAGAATGGGGCAGGACACCCTCCTCTGCACAGTTGCATAGAATACACTCAGCAGATGAGGGTTGCTCAAGTAGTAGTGCAAGCAGCAGCGTTCAGGCGGACGACGGTAGTACACCACCGTTGGGAGTCCCACTTCTGCAGATTAAAGTTAAGGAGGATTATAATGAGAAAGGTGCCCTCATAGTGCTCTCAACCTCCGACGTGCCTTTGATTAAACGCCCGTTGGATGTATTTGCCTGGGGATGGAGAGGCCTGGGGAAGGAGGGTACAATCCTGCCTATGCCGGAGATGAGATCTACTTCTGAACTTCTCCTTCCTGGCAGAAGACCTGAAGTGGTAGCGTCGGAAAGATGGAATGACTTAATCATAGGCTCAAGAGAAGAGGTGATAAGAGAAATAGGCAGACTTTGGGTACAACTTCAGCACCTACCCTCACAGAGGCATGCTGCGATTCTCTGGCAGCTATCTTTATTGGTAACCCCATCAGCGGTGTGGTTGGTGGGACGAGGAATGGATATTTCAATTGGTTGTAAGCGATGTACATGGCCTTTTGAGTCGACAGTCCACCTGTGGTGGGACTGCCCTGCCTCCAAGCGTGTTTGGCAATGGTGGGCTATTCACTGGAAGGATTTTGCTGCATGGGATTGGGATTGGAACAGAGAATGGGCCCTTCTGGGTCTTCTTCCTGCTGCATTACAGCCACTGGAAGGCCTAGGATATGTGGTGCAGGCCTGTAGAGCGATTATTTGCTCCACGATTTGGGAGGTCAGGAACAAAGCCACGTTTGAGGGAAAAGGCACCTCTGACAGAGAGATCAAATCTACAATCTTCTCAAAGCTAAGACAGTACATCAAGTCGGATTGGCTCAGAAGACACAATGCGAGACTTCCAGGTTGAAAAAGCTTGAGATGGTTCCTCAAAACTTGGGGAGCAAGCAAAGGCTCCATGTGGTTGGTATCAGTCGGTCCAGAAGGAATGTTAGAATTTTGCAATTGGTTGAAACAGTAGCTCGAATAGGATTATGTGATTGCTATGGTACACAGGCTGAGGGGCTATTTGGTCCCCGCTCAGTTTACAATGGGGTTGGTCGGGTTTTGAGTATGTATAGACAGCAACCAGGACACTCGGTTTTGCCCCTGTAGGCAGGCAGTCATTGCAGGGTGCGGGCGAGCACTTTTGGGGTAAGAGCTAGGAGTGTCATGAGAGGGGAGTTGCCCAATCTGTAGCAGACCGCTTTAGGCCTGTGCTCTTCTGTTGTTGGAATTGGCAAGGTTAGTATTTAGTATATTTGTTTTGTTCTTTTATTCTTTGCTGTTGTTTGTTAAACTAGGATGGTAGTTGAGAAGAGCAGAGAGCTCGATTCACAGCTGTGATTAGAAGAGCAGAGAGCTCGATACATGGTACTCAATTGGAGAGGGCTCGATGCATGGGTAGTGACCTTGCCTGCATCTTATTAGTCCTTGGTTCGCATAAGTGGTCCCTGTCTTAGGGGCCCAGGTTACCTTCCGGGTTGTTTGTGAGGATTCCCGGCCTCAGAGTGGTTTCGTCTTGCTTTGAATAAAGGATCCTCTACTTTTTCCCCAAAAAAAAAAAAAAAAAAAAAAAAAAAAAAAAAAAAAAGTTTTTTTTTTTTTTTTTGCTCCATGCGAGTCCACCGACGTGTCCGAGGACCTATACACCCTCCCCGTTGAACAATATTCAACGGGGAGGGCCCATTGTACCGTTCAACGGGGATTCAACCGGGCCCCGGGGGCTATTCAACGGGTACAACGGCGTTGAAACTTTCCCGTTGCCTGTTGAATAGACACACAGATGCCTTTGCTCAGTCATATTTTCTAATATCCTGCTCAGTTAATCCTCTGGAATCCAGAGTAATCAACGCTTGCAGGCTTTTTCCAGATACTGATTATCTTTTAATGTTCCTGTTCTTTTCTAAATCATTCTGTACAACGGACGCTGGACCTGTTTTCCAGCAAGTGATGCTCCCCACCATTAGATGGAGCCTTAAAAAAAAAAAAGAAAAAAAAAAAAAGAAGGCGTAACTGTGGCGCAATCACGGAAACAGTTTTGGAGATGAACTTCACGCAATGCCCCGAACATAACACATTCCCACATGAACCCCCCCGAACATAACACATTCCCACATGAACCCACCGGACTCGGAAGAAGCTGGCTTGTATACATTCTACATTTCCAGGCCTTTTGCCTGAAGTGCATTTTCAAACTCAAATCCTCACTGCGCCGTTGTTTTCTCTTCTTTTTTTCGGGGGGAACTGCACCCGAGTCATCTTTTTAGTTTGAAATAGGAAAGAAAAAACATCACATTCACAGCCTCGACACCACCGAAGTCAGAAAATGCAAAAGAAACATCACTTGGCAGGCACATGACAGCTGTTGTTTGTAATTGGCAAAGAAGGCACAAAAGGCCTGTCCCAGGACGGGCCTGGCACGTGGAGGACCAGGCCCTGTGGACATCAGCAACGGGTCACTGTGAACATCACCAACGGGCCCTACGAAGCCCACGGAGCCACACACAAAAAGAAAAAAGAAAAAGAGAGAGAGAGAGAGAGAGAGAGAGAGAGAGAGAGAGAGAGAGAGAGAGAGAGAGAGAAATAAGCAGGGAGTTCGACCCACGTGTGTGTGTGTGTGTGTGTGTGTGTGTGTGTGTGTGTGTGTGTGTGCACGCGCGGGGGAAGGGTGACCCCTTCCCCACCAACCAATCAATCAATCAATCAATCAGTGGATCAATCAGTAAAAAAAAAACAAAAAGTAAAAAAAAATAAACAGCGGGTTTCACCGGGTTCCACCCGCCAGGGTCTGTGTGTGTTTGTGTGTGTGTGTGTGTATGTGTGTGTGTGTGTNGTGTGTGTGTGTGTGTGTGTGTGTGTGTGTGTGTGTGTGTGTGTGTGTGTGTGTGTGTGTGTGTGTGTGTGTGCGTGCCGGGGGACCCCCCACCAATAAATCAATCAATCAATCAACCAATGAGTCAATCAACCAATCCAGCAATTAAAAAATCAATCAATCAACCAATCAACCATTTATCAATTTTGCATGTCATCCTTGCGCAGGGGCCATGTCAATTTTTGCATTTTTTTTTCAACGGCGGGCAAAAGTTGTGTGTTTGCATTTTTTTTTGAACGGCGGGCCTGGCGTCAAATAATATTTTTATTCACGTTTGTTCTTCTCTCTCTCGAAGTTCGTTGTGAAACTGGACATGAGCATCAGGCAAAAGTTGTTTGTATTGCAAAAAACTGTACCATTTGTGTTTTTTTGGTTTTCTTAAATGAAAAAACAAATCGAAATATTCAAAAATTCGAAACAATATTGGAATACATTCGACCATACGTTCTATTTGAAAAACAAAATCGGCACTTTCTGGAAATCGGATTTTTAAAATTAAAAATTGAAATATCGAAAATACCCAAAAATTCGAAACAACATTCGAATACATTCTACCGTACGTTCTATTTGAAAAAAAATCAGCACTTTCTGGAAATCACTTTTTCAGAGGTAAGTAGAATAGAATGTCCGTACGTTCTTTTCAGCTTAGAGCACCAGTACTTGGCCCAGCTATAGGCCGGGGAAAAAAAATGGACTAGAAACGTTTCTTGTGGGATGAATTTGGGCTACCTTCTAGTGGCCCGTGCGTTTCCTAAAATCATGGCCCGTACGTTTCCTAAAGCTGACACTGGGAGGATGAGTTGAACTAAGACAACCAAAACCGTAAACTTTTCGTTCGCAGCAAACTCCGGTAAGGATGAAAAACGAGAGAGAGAGAGAGAGAGAGAGAGAGAGAGAGTCATCCTGTTTTTGGGAGGGAGTATGAAGCAGCCTCTACAACTGTGGCTCATGGACGTAATCTATGGACTGGATAGACAACGGACTCCTCGACGCTCCGAATGCCACGCTTCGCACCACCTGAACGGTGAAATTGCTGCTCAACGAGAGACTGAGCCCGTCTAAAGTTAGGCCGATGGGGAATGTGAAGGAGACTGGCATACTCATGCCTCCCGCCACGAGGTAACGAGCTCCGACATATCTGGGATTGCCCGCCCTTGGCGTGTTAGCACCGGCATTAGGCTCGTTGATGAACACATATAGCACCAAGGGCTCGTCCACCGAGTGAGCAACGTTGCGCAGGGTTAGCTCCGGCACCACCCCACCCCGGGGAGTAGTCTCGGGAGACTGCACGACTGCAGTTGCGACGTTGGGGTTCTCAGCGGAGACCGTCGCCGAGGCTCGGAAGGTGCGACGAACTCTCAGCGGCACCTCTCCCGGCACTCCATCGTTTTGAACTGCAGGACTGGCCCCACGTCGCGCCGTGGTCCAACTGTTGGGCACATTCTCGTAGACATACCGCAGACTGGTCCTGTGATCGAGGACGTCTGACACGGCGATGATCTTGGCGTTGCCGTTCTCGTCATAAAAGGCGAACCTTGAGTTGCGAAAATCCGCTGATGTGGGATCACCTCTGCCCCGCAACTGCCTCCACACGGACCACATCCTGTCCACGTTGGCATGGTGAGCATAGAACACAGGATCGTAACCCGCCCAGGCTAGATCAGCCATGTCGCGTCCAACGCCGATGTGGACGGCATTATGTCCAGTTCCCTCAAGATTTCCAGCAGCTGTCGCCGTCCCGATGACGTCATCCAATCGGGTCAGACTGCCAATGGCCCCGAAGAGTGCATCCCTTGTGATTTCGTTTTGAATATAGGCTTGGATGGCAGCTGCTGCACTTCGACGTGCTGTGTAGAGAGCGGAGGTGGTGTTGGCGTAGGGAGAGGGGAGGGCCTTCTGAGCAGCGGCATCGCTGTCCCAGTTCCAAAAGGGAAGGGCAAAAGACACATCGCCTGTGGCCCAGGCAAGAATGCGCTCGTGGTAGTAAAGGAGCATTCGGTGCCAGGGAGCGAAGAACCAGTTGCCGTGCATGTTGTATTGTCTGCCATAGACAAACGGCCGCTCACAGAAGGCGCAGTGAAGTAGGCGCTGCTGTTCGAGACCTCGAGGGTCGTTGGGAGCTTCGCGCTCTAGTCTGCGAAGCCTGGCGTATGCAGCATTGAGTCTGGCGAGGTACCGTGCATCTTGGAGGACGTTCTGGAGTGCGCGACGTGTGCGGAGCGGGGTGGAAGAGTTGATGGCGAAAGCGGACGGGCGGGAAGAGGGGACGCGAAGGCAGCAATTAGGTAGGGGAGGGCGGGGCGCAGTGCAAGTGGAGAGATCTGGCGGTCCGATGGGGGCAGCGGAGGCGAGTGACACGTGTCCATTCCTGCTGATGCTGCCGCTGCCGCAGAGAAAGATCACCATAGCCGCCACCATCACTATCGTGCTCATCATTCCTAGCCTACGTGGTTGCAGCAATGGGCAGAAAACGACCGAGAACGACACAACAGAAGGACACATTCCTATCTTACGCCATTTTCTCGACTTCATCGATCTACCTGCAGAGGCAGACAATGGAACAGGCATCCCTCCAGATCAGATGCGACACTAGCAGCTGCGCAAGCGACGCCTCTTATCACCGCTGCAACGTGTCACCCCCACGTGTGATTCCCTGGAGTGAGCTATCTCCCGGTTTGCGACGAGCGTGAGATAAGTGCACATGCAGAGCTAACTGCCAGCTAAGCAATCAGTGACACACAGACACAGAAAGAAAAAAAACGAAGCAATGGAAAATCATAGTAATAACTTATAAGAAGTGATCAGCCATGAGCGAACTGCCTCGTTCCTGGGAGAGAGCGCCCTCCTCCTTCCAGATGCTCACAAGTTTCAAGCCGTCGCAGCGTCGCGAGTTCGAGCCCAGAGAAACAGCCGACCAGATTCGACAGCTGCAGGTGCTCTCACACTGCTTGTGCACGACTGACTGGCGTAGGTGCATGCAGAGCTCATCGAAGCTGGCAGCACGTGGCTTCACAGTGGTGCACGTGGCAGCAGTTCAAGCTTCCGCTCGATAGTCGATGTTGGACAGAAGAAACGACCGCTCTTAAAGAAGAGGGAAGCCACGAGGACGTAAGTACAAGGCCAAGGAAAGAGAGACGCGCGCTACGCTTCCAATTGCATAACCGCCAAGGCCTGTAGTACAGTGGGAAGGTCCAAAGAGCAGTCCGTTTTATAAGCACTACGCTAAGAAGGAAGGAAGGGAGGAGGGAAGGAAAAAACAGCGTAAGCATGTGCAGTGCGTAATCTTCTGCTGTCATAGAAGGACGGACTGAGAACTAGACTTTCGTGAACGTATCCGACCGCAACTACGTCTGCATGCAGTCAAAACAGTTCAGGTGCGAGAATGCGCTAACTCTGTTAACAAAGGGTGAAACTCCGTCGTTTGTAGAAGACACCTGCTTGCCTACCGCCAGTGTATAAGCTAACAAAAGTCTTACCTGATTAGAACTTGTGTGTGTGTGTGTGTGTGTGTGTGTGTGTGTGTGTGTGTGTGTGTGTCTGTGTGTGTGTGTGTGTGT